TTTTCTAGAAAAAATAGTACTAAATTTTACTACCTCCTTATTGTTTCCTTATGCACTGCGGGTGTCCTGCATAAGCGAACACAAACAAGCACATACACATACAGAGACAGGCACACTCACAGGCATCGAAGTTGACATATGACCTTATCTAACCAAATCACTTTATACTTGATCAAACAGGCCAGATGCAGAGTATATATACCGTGAGTTTTCTTGAATAGTTTGGAGTTTTGAATTCTATGATTATTCGGAGCATAAGACTAGCCGATGTAGACTATTGTGACAATGAACTAAATCGGCTTAAAATAATATTTCTTGAGAATAACTATCCCCTAGGCTGGATTGAAAATAACATTAGATTTATAAATAATAGCTTTTTGAATGGTGAATAGTTAAGGAGAGATAAGGAGACCTTTTTTCATGTTTTGCCTTTACCTTCGTGCATTCCCTCTAAAAGGAGAAATGAACAAGTAAGGAAGTGGGGAATAAAAACGGTCTTCAGGGAAACTACGACACTTTTCGAAAGAAACCATCGAAATAAACCGAATAGGAAATACATTAAATGTAAGTAATACCGGCAAGAAGATGAGTAAAAATTACTTGAGCTTAATGAATAGAGTCAAGGATAGTGAGCGAGTTGAACCGCCTGCAAGAAGTAGGGGACGTAACTAGTCTATTCTTGTATCGGTCCTAATCATAATAACTTTCCTGCACACTTATATCACTCTTTCTCTCTCATTCTTCTCACATTATGAGCAAAAAACAAAAAATTGTCTCATTGACAAAACCAGACGAGGGTCCGACCTTCCGCAATCGGAGTGATAGTTATAACGTGTACGTAGAAAGGGGGAGGTAGTGGTTATCAAACCTTGATGGCCGAGAACTCACATGCATCGAAGTTGGCATATGACCTTAACTAACAAAATCACTTTATACTTGATCAAAGAGGTCAGATGTATAGTATGTGTACCACTTTTAAGGGGTTTTCCGCTGAGTCTTCTTGACTCGTTAGCTTCAATTTGGTAGTGATGATGATACCTTGCTCTGATGATGTTGATCATAAAGTTCAAACCCCTTTTAAAGACGATACTACCTTAAGTTATACTGAATAAGTTAATGCCTTTATTCTTACTATAAAAAATAATACTAAGTTTAACTACCTTCTTATTGTTTCGACGATTTCTTTGGCTGATTTTGATGCCTAAATTCCTTAATTTCTTATCATGTCGGGATCTCTGGATCTTATCCATACTATCCGTCAAACCGTCCGCCATTTTCTGCAATTTAATAAAGTAGTATTGAGAAAATAGCCGAGAAAGGGATAGTCTAGTCCTTGTTTTGGTTCTAATCAGGTCATGTAATTTGTCTATACTTTTTTTGAGTCTAGACTCATCAACAAAGCCAGACGTGTGTCTGACCTTGCGTAATCGGAGTGATGGTTATAACTTAAATGTAGAAAGGGGCAGATAGGGTCATCAAACCTTGATGGTCAAAAACAGATGATCCTTTTTTTTGTCCTAATTACTTTGAGCCATCACTTCGGGTTTCGTACATAAGCAAACACAAACAGGCACATACACATACAGAGACAAACACACTCACATGTATCGAAGTTGACACATGAGCTTAACTAACCAAATCACTTTATACTTGATCAAAGAGGTCAGATGTAGAGTATGTGTACCACTTTTCAGGGGTTTTCCGGTGAGTTTTCTTGACTCGTTAGTTTTAATTTGGTAGTGATGATGATACCTTGCTCTGATGATGTTGATCATATGACGGACGAAAGCTTAGCACCTTTTCACCCGAATCGAACGAGATTGCCTCGGAAACAGCGTCAGCATGAATCTTCCAGTTAAGCCAACCGACAGCTGGTC